CGGTCTGATCCTAAGACTTACGCCAGTACTGCCTCCACCGTCAACTTTCAAACACAGCTCGCAGGCTTCCGTCCTCCGACGCAGGAGCATCAGCGAGGAGACTAGGTGGGCTGTATGTGTTTCGCAGTCGCTCCGAAGGCACCTGTCCTCGCCCTGACTGCAAAGGCCGCTGCAGCGACAGGCCCGCGTGTCCTTCGGGCACGTCCATCAGGCGCTCACAGCCGCGCCCGCGGTTCCATGGGCAGTCTAGGAGCGTTGCTTGCGTGTAGGTCACGATGCTCAGCTTCAAAAAGCTGCGAGCCGTCCTGTGGCAGGGTGCTGAGTGGCTCTAACACCAAGTCTTGTACGCGGTGCTGCGGCGAGTGTCGTGCTTCAGGTGGAGGGTGGCCGGTCGGGACACTGTCTGCGACAGGTGCGACAGGCGCCGCTCTGTCGGAAAGGTCACGAGCCCAGTATGAATTCTTCTCATTGCGAGGCCCGTGCGGACGCGCGCATGTCGCGCGGAGGCGGCCGGGCATGCGTGACGCCACCGTGGGTGTCACTGCCTTGGACAGTTGCCGCCTGGATGTTGCTAGGGTGCACCTGGCCGCTCGCGCTTCGCGCAGCCCCTGCGGCGCACTCAGACCTGCGCCTCCCCGGCTCCCATTCCCACTCTGCTCTGTCTTGTCAGGCTCTGCTGCACTGCCTGTCGCAAAGACGACGTGCCGAACAGCACCTGAAAGATCTGCTTGCAAGCTTTCGCCCCGCTGCTTCTGCCGTGTCAGGACAACGCTATTTAGCCCCACTACCGAGCCGTCACCCTGCAGGTCGTTGTTGTCTTCCTCCTTGGGCGGGCTGCGACGCCGTATATACGCAGGCTTTTTTCTCTTCCGATGGCAGCCACCTTGTCGCGGTGGAAGAGCTCAGTACCCTGCACACTTAGGCTGCAGCTGGGAAGCCAAGCGCTGCCATGTTTACACGATCACAACCCCCGCGTCCGATGCCAGCGTCTCCGTCCCCCAGGTCCCTACGTCGTCTTCGCTGCCGAAACTGCGCGTCAGAGCCGCTTCGGTGAGAAAACATGCTAGTCGCTCGTGTTGAGAGTGCACAGTTCCCGGAACTTAACGTACACGAAGCAAGCTTCTTCTCCACTGCGCGCGCATTGCTGCCGGGTCTTCGTTGCAGCCGTGTCTCTCTGTCTGCAAGTTATCTTGCGCGCCTCTGCCCTCCCTCGCGACTCATGCCTCTCACACTCCGTGACGCGGACATCATGTCGGCCGACGCGCGCGGTCGCTGCTGGTCGCAAGGTGGTGCGGTGCTGCGCCTGCTTGCTTTTTTTGCATCGTGTACGTCCTGCCCGCCAGCTGCGTACAGTCGTACAGGCATGGCTGCCCTGCAAGCCGACCGTGCAGAAGAACATGTTCTGAGCGGGTCCTTGGTGAACCTCTACCACGCCGAAGCCCGTGCAGCGGAGCTCAACTCCGTGCTCCGCGTCCTCGTTCTGCTGCCCCTGCTGCGCGGGGGCAACCACGGCATCCTGGCGGCTCGCATCGTGTCTAGGCCGCCATGATTCTTGTTTCTGAGCTGTATATCCACCCCTCTGCTTTCGCGCGCTTCTCAGGCTTCCTATGCTGTCCTGCTGCCGGCGCGGCCAACATCTGCCCCAGTTTGGGAGCCGATCCGCTGGCCCGGCCTGCGCTTTCTGCGCGCGCCACCAGTGCCCGATGACCTAACTGCAGAAGATCTGCTTCAACTCTGGGGCGAGGCGCCGCGGCCGCTGTCGCTTTTCATGGCCACATGCTCGCCCCTGGACGGGTCCAGACTGGGAATGTGAGCGTGTTATACGGTGTGTTTGTGTCAGGTGCACGCGGTGCGCTCCGTCAATGCTGCTCTGCGTGGCCGCCTCGTCCAGCTCTGGCGGTCCGTCGCTTTCTTGGAGAACACCACGGGCGGGCTTTTGTGGGAGCTCGGTTGCCTCTGAAG